GGCAACGGGATTGCAACCCTCGGTGTTGCTCCCGCGCCTCGCTCAGCCAGTGAGCGGGAACCGGTCTGTATGTGGGATCCGAACCCTCGGGCGGGAGCGCCGCCGCACTTCCCAAGAGGCGCACTATCCAGTGCGCCACCGGGCCGGCCCCCAAAATTTTAAGTCAGAAACTTAAATTATTTTCATATGTTAAATAAACAAATATACTGATTCTAATCTGCTATGCTTAAACAAATGAAAGTAGTTATTAAAGATAAACTAATCTCTAAGTCTTGGCATATAACATAAAGCTTTCCTGCAACGTGAAACGCAAGTGCTACCTAACAGCTACTTCAGAAACTCAGAAGGCTAATAAGATATCTTGGTCCTATTGTAGGACTCTGATAGCAATAATCTCACTTCCAGGGAAGTGAAGTAATATTTAAAATAAAAAACATACTAGCTCTAATACCTGAAGGGGATTTTCAATTTAAAATAGAATAAAAAAGTTAAGCTAAAGTTAAAAGTATGGGATAAACAAAAAAGTAAGTCGTCTTTAATCTGATATTGTTGTTCCAGAAGACCAATAAAGGTCCACTGTAATAATTAAAAAAGACTGGAGAAGCAGATGCATAATGGCAATTACTTCCCATATCTAATGTCACATTCAGTCATGAAGCCAGGCAGGGGACCACATGAGAAATTCCCCAGGCTGCTGAACTCTCACAGCAGGAAGCCACAAGAGCCAGAGGAAGAGCACAAGTGCCCTCAGAGCTGCTGCCAGCACTGCACATTTGTGTAGCACAGATCCACTCACTCACTCACTCAACAGAGTGCCTGCTGAGGGCCCATCACACCATTCTAGGTACTCACAATACAAAAGAAACAAATACAAGAGAGAAAACAGCACCATTCCTAGCCTGGAGTAGCCCACAGATGAATAACACACTGCAATACAATGAGTGCTATAAAATGATACACCACAAACAAGATGGGGCTTTCATTTGGTCACAATAATTTTAAGAAGCAGGAAGACAACTACCATTAGACTAAAGTTTGCATTTTACAGATGAGGAAAAAGGGTCTTCAGTAAGTTAAGAGATTTCCCTAAAGTTATGTTTAAAAAGGAATGGAGGGGAAAAATTTTTTGAGAAAAACATTTGGACAATTTTAAGTCAGGGCTCTTCTTTCTCAACCCCAACTTTGGGACTAAACTCCCAGAGACACTAATCTAAAAGGGCTGCAAGAAGGTCTAGGAATACTGTTTTTAAAGCTCACCAGGTAATTTTGCTATGAAGACAGGTTTGGTAACTACCAGAACAGTGTTAAAGCACACAGCACTAAAGTTAAATATTCCAGGCTCTGAAAATCAAGTGGACATTATTCATTATGTGACTCTGGGCCAGTGACTTGACTTCTCTAAGTCCCAGTTTTCTTCTGTAAAATGAGGGTACTACTCAGCTCCCAAGATATAGTAGATATCAAAGGAGATAACACACATAACAGAGCCAAGTGTCTAGAACAATACAAAACCTTAGTAAACGGTAACAGTTGTTATATATTAAGAGTAAAAAGGACAAAAGGAGGGGGAGAAGCAGAGAAGAGAGAGAAAGATAAACCAGCAGCTGTACACAGGACTACACACACTGCAAGGGACCATTTATTGTTATTACCTTTTTAAGAGGTTAACAATTTAACTTATTTTAAAGTAATTAGCCAAAAGCATCTTTCCACTCTTAAATTTCATTTAATATGGTTAAATTAATAATACAAGCACTATCAGTTTACCTATAATCTCAAAATACCACTTCACCTGGTAACTACTAAACCTAAGGTGTCAATGGTAGTTAATAAAATGGCATACAAAGTAGCCAAAAGAATTTAACCACCTTCCAGAGATGCTATCTGTACAAACCCAACCTTGACTAACCAAGTAACTGACATGAACTGTCAGAGTTTAAAGTCACAAGCTTACTTTGAAAGCATAAATACTTTTAAATAATCTAGATGAGATATATATTTTATAAATTACAAAAAAACAAAAACATGATTTCCATAATTCTAGGTCTATGGTTATCAACTGGGGGTAATTTAGTCCTTCAGGAAACCCAGTTCCTCCAGTGATAACACCTGGAGACATTTTTGGTTGTCACTACTGTGATCCAGTGGGAAGAGGCTGCGAATGCAGCAAAACGCCCCAAGATGCACAGATGTCAGCCCCAAACGGCAACCGTGCCAAGTTGAGAAGCCCTGTTTTAAACTGCCTAAACATGATACCATATAAAATGTCATCAGAACAGAAACTTGCTAGTAAGTTATACTTCTACCACACATTGGTTTTCATGGTATTTACCCAATAATAACAGGTTAGCAAGGAGGCAGTGCCAGCATAGCATTACGCAGGAGTTGATACAACCAGCGCTAGAGTCAAAAAGACATAAATTGGAATCCTAACCAATTCAAACAGGTCCAAGCTTAAGTTGTTAACTGTAAAAATAACACCAGTAACACCTATCTCTTAGAGTGTGGTGAGAAATATTAAATGAGAAAATGTTCCTAAAGGGCTTAGCATAGAGGCTGGGACTCAATAAAACCATAATCAATGATAAATATTAGAAAGAACTGTAAGTTTCTTCCAATACTGGATGCAATATTTAAAAGAAACTGGATTTCTTATAAAATTATCAATTTACCTTCACTGGCTCCATCTTCTGGACATAAAATATTCCTGTTACAAAACCTGTCTATTCTAGAACCATTTCCTTCATCTCTCTGTGATTCAGAAAGTATCTTATCTTCATCTGACAAATCACTTCCACTGGAACTCCATGTTATATCTGTAAGCCCACTGGTACTCTTAGATGTGGTAGTTTCTGTTAAAGAAAAAGAAAACACATGAATAAGATCAACTAGTATGGTTATTTATCAAAATGAGATTTTATGTACGTTACTTAGGCAAGTCACAAATACACAAAACACTGATGATAGTGAAAGCAATGTCTTATGTCAAATCTTCCTCACTAACATTATTTAAATTAAAGCCAAACTGCAAGATGAAAAAGAAGTAAAAATGGTTGAGATAAGTTACAAAAGACAAGGAAAATGGAGCATAATGGAAACTGGAAAAATAAGATTTGAAATAACAATTACAGAACTATAACTTCCTAGAATATTGAATGAAACGAAAAGAAGAAAAAACACAAAACACACTACAAAACCAATTCTTAGGAATAACAGGAACGCTTCTGTATGCTTCCTTTGCCATGCTAAGAGTCCTTACAGCAGCAGGGTGCTTAAAACACTTAGTAAACTTTTGTATTTAATTAAACTTCTTATTTTGAGATAAGAATAAGTTCACATATAGTTGTAAGAAATAATAGAGAAGACCCTTATATCCTTCACCCAGTTCCTCCAATGGCAACACCTTGCAAAACTGTAGTACAACATCACAACCGGGATATTGACATCAGTCCGGTCAAGATACAGAACATTCCATCACCACAGGCTGCCATGTATTAATGAGATAAGGTGACCCACACTTTCATAACATACACAAATCGCTTCTGTGAAACTGCTTGCTGTGTGACAAAGTAGACTGATTAAGTTTAAAGAGTGTTTAAATTGCTTAGAAAATGTTGTTTGAAAATCCCTCTCAGCTCTTCAGACCCCTTGATAGAAGCTAAAAGCTAAATATTAGCCTGCACTTAGAGAAGTTTGAATTTTGTTTGCTGTTCCCCACCCAAGCTGCCCCCTGAGCGATTAACTGGATTCTTTCAGCTTCTGTTATCAGCTTGCACTAGGCCTCCCCAAACTCCCTCCTCATGCCAGAAGGGTGTTTATGTATGTAACTATATTATAACTATAAGTGTATGACTATTTGATAATCTGAGCGATTAACTGGCTTCTTTCAGCTTCTGTTATCAGCTTGCACTAGGCCTCCCCAAACTCCCTCCTCACGCCAGAAGGGTGTTTATGTATGTAACTATATTATAACTATAAGTGTATGACTATTTGATAATTTTAACTGTGTAACTAATGTAAAAATGTGCCTTTTAAAAAAACCCTAAACTTCAAGTCAGGGCTGCTCCCTTCCGAGACTTTCTTGGAGGGACAGTCGTCAGCTGGCCAATAAAAATCCCCTTTTAAATTCTCAATTGGGTATTCTGGTTTCTTTTCCGTGTGGCAGCCTCACAACATTACCTTTTTATAGATACACACACACACACACACACACACACAAACACACTGCACCAAACCAATCCCTGACTTCTTGTAACCACAAATCATTTTGCACTTCTATAATTCTGTCATTTCAAGAATATAATATAAAAGGAATCATATCATGTAACATTTTAAAATTAACTTTTTTCACTCACCATAATTTCCTAGATATTCATCTAAGTTGATGCATGTATCAACATTTACTTTCTTTTTATTACTGAATATTCCATGGAATATTCAATGGTATGGTATTCTTAACGGTGCAATTGCTGGGCTGTACAGTAACTGCATGTTTAGTCTTATAAGAAACTGCCAAACTATTTTCCAGAGTGGCTGTAACATTTTACAGTCCACCAGCAATGTATTAGTGATCCAGACTCTCCATAACCCACCAGCATTGTTGTTATCACTATTCTCTATTTTAGCCATTATGATAGGCAGAAGACCTAGAAGAAATGGGGCTACTCCATCGTGGCAGAACCAGAAGTCAACAGCAAACTTTTCTGATACTGAACAGAAAAGGCATACATAACTAATAAAAATCCACTGTTCTGCTTATATTCATAATTGTAGCTATAATGCTAAAATTAAGTATATACATTTACATACCTTACCCTACATGGTATGGTATTTGACAAAATTTGAAGTACATTTCAATAAACTATGAGATTAAGAGATTAGATATTTCTAATTCATGTTTTACAGAAGAGAAAACTTAGGTTCAGAAGTTAAATGACTTCATTCAATACATATTTACAAAACCCCTCTAATAAAGTAATCATGAGGGTAAAAGAAAGAAAGAAAACTCCCACCCTCAAGGAATGCATGGTCTGAAAGGAAACACTAATCACGAGAAGAAAAACTAAATATTAAACTGCAAGTATGTCATGGCACAATGATGGCCCAAAGGAAGTGGATGCTGCATTCCATGTTGATTCACTGACAAGATGTCTAGAAAAGCAGCACTACAAAAGCACAAAAACATAAAATAATCGACATTTACTGAACACTTATTTTGTGCCATGAATACCCAGAAAGAATTACTGAAGCAGGCTATCCTTCAATATACAAAAGGAGAAATAAACTATTTGGAATAACCTAAGAATCCGTATCTGTTTAAATAGCTAATAAAACTAAGCTGTGTACTTCCTTGCAAAAGACATTATCAATCTCATTTTTATGAACTGAAAAAGTAAATCAAAAAGGAAGTAATCACTATTTCTAGATTATAAAATAAAAATTCATGAGAAATTCAAGAAACCAACTGAAAAATTACTACCAATAATAAACTCCAATACAGGTAGTAAGGTACAAAATACTATACAGAAATCAAATATAAACAGCAAAAAAAGATAAGGTACCTAGAAGAAACTTAAAAGACATGTAAAACCTAAGTAAGAAAAACTTTTAAAAGACTTCGGAAGGACATAAAAGAAGTTTTAATGATCTGATCAGAGAAAAATAGCCTCTCAGTGCAGCTTCAATACGTATTTCTCCTACTACAGATGAGTCTGAGCATCTTTTCATGTTTGAAAACCACTTATAAGTGCTTTTCTGTAAACAGTACATAAACCTTTATTTTTGTAATAGTTATCTTTTTTCCTCTAGATTAATTTCTGATCGTTCTTTATTTAAAAGATCAGCCTTTCTCTGTGATATGAGTTACAAGTACTTTCTACAGTTTGGAGGGGCTTTAAATTGTGTGTATACAAGAGTAATTTTAACCACATAACTTTTCCCTTTTTATTTAGGTGAGTTTAACAACCTTTACTATTAAGGCTTCTAGGTTTTGAGTCATTAGTCAGAAAGGACTTCCCAACTGCAGTGCTTCCTGTGTTCACCCAACAGACACTCACGCAATCTAATTTCTGAGGCCACATTCTTAACCATATGTAAAGCTCTCAAAGTAGCTGGAGACCTACAGTCTCTTTCACCATTTGTTTAGTGTGAGACTCCAAGAAAATATGTAACAATTTGGTGCTTCTGTACATCTATTACAAGAGATAGGATAATTAACAGCTATGTCATTCAAATTCTCAGACACCAGGATTCTAGACTTATAAACCCACAAATTATAGGCATTTAATGCACAACTTACATACTTAAAACCACTACCAGGAATCTATTCGTCAGTAACTCATTTTACTTGCTGAAAAGGGGTGCCCCCGAGATCAAGGCCATTCCAATGGACTTACAGGAAGGACATTAGCCAGACTATAAAAACAGTTACCATGCATTTATAAATATTCCTGGGCACCCACTGTGCACCAGGCACTGTGCTAGCACCTGTCATGGGCTGAATTGTGTCCCACCCACATTCAAAATTCATTTGTTGAACACCCTATACCTCGTAATGTGACTTTATTTAGAGACAGGCTCTTTAAAGTTAAAGTGAAATCATTAGGGTGGGCCTTGGAAGGTAACTAGTGTCCGTACAAGAGGAGAAATTTGGACAAAGAGACAGACATGCGCAGAGGGAAGACAAACGTGAAGAGACACAGGGAGAGGACGGCCTTCTACAAGCCTAGGAGAGAGGTCTGGAACAGGTCTTTCCCTCCCAGCACTCAGGAGGAACCAACCCTGTCAGTGCCTTTGGTTTTGGACTTCTGCCTCCAGAACCGTGAGACAGTAAGTTTCTGTAAGTACTACCCAGTCTGTGAGACTTTATTATGGCAGCCCTTGGAAACTGATACACCTGGGACATAAAGATGAGCAACAGTGGAGGTCTGCCCTTAACAAGCCAATGATCCAATGGGGTGAAAAGCAAGTCAATAAAGAATGACAAAAAAATTTAGGAATGCTTTCATAGGGAAGATGTCTAAGCTCAATCAACAAAGATTTTGAGAAAATACTTTGCAGGGTATTTCAGGAAAAACATTTTTTTTTTTTTTTGCTTTCATTTTGCTTGGTAAATACTTTTTCATTTTGCTTGGTAAATACTTTTTTGTGTGTATGAAAGTTCTGCCTTTTAAAAAAATCACTATCTACAAAGGGTCCAGACTCTTTTCCTCTTAGCTTTTTATCTTCTTCCTTCCTTCTCCCTTGAACCTTCTGGCGAGATCCTTTGCCAACATTCATTTACTTCCTCCTCTCATCCCCTCCATCTTCTCAATTCCCTCCCCTTTCAGTTTTCTTTGTTCTCAGTGCCTTACAGATGAGGAAACAGAGACATTAAGACAAGCCACCTTATACACACTTTCAAAAGTATCTTCTCCACTCCTGCTTCCCAGCTTTCATAAAAATTTTACTCCCTCTCCCTAAATGTGGTATAGAATTTTATACCACATTTTTGTTAATAGGCTGTCTTAAACTAATACTTTAGAACCTACTGTTTTAAAAATGAACCAGTTCTAGGAAATGCCTTGAGTCCCTTTTTCTATAAATCTCTGTCTGTAAGCCCTTATTAAATTACCAACAATACTTTCTTGCCTTAAGCCGCATATGCTATAAAGTAAATATACATTGATACAAACTTTTTGAGCCTTTCAGAATATATTGATCATTCTATAGATAAGAAAGTACAGCAGAGTGGGTAGGACATGTATTGGCATGGGGAAATCATCCTAAAAGATCCATTTGTAATTAAATACAAGCAGCAACTTACTTAATATTTCTTTCTCTCTCAAAGCTGAATTTCTACATTTATTTAAAATCTCTAGAAAAAGATATAACAACATCTGTTCATTTTCTCCATATTATCTATTATGAAGGTCTAGAAATCAGCACAGCATTTGGCACTAGTAAGAAGAAAAGTAAAATTCTGCAGTTCCATCAGAAAATTATGGTACTGCAAAAAGATGTGTGCCAGTTTATCTTACAATACTGCGTCTTAGGAATTTCAAGTTGGGAAATTTTATTTTTTATTTGCATAGAAAAGAACCTCCTTAAATGTTAGTGAAATAATAATAAAGCTTAGAATGTTTAGTCGTTTAGTCACAAAGTTATTCCACTCTGCAGAACTTTGAGAGCAGGCTCTCTCATAGCTCTTTCTACCTGCTATCAGATACAACAATTGCTGTCATCAATTAAGCACCTACTAAGTGCCTTATATCTTTGAACTAGGTATTTTACTTAAGCTTTATTTTTAAGCTCACCTAATATAATAACCCCAAAAAGGCACACATTTTATACCAATTTTCCAGATGCAGAAACTGAGGCTCAGAGTGTTTAACTTGTTTTCCCAAGATTACATAGTCAGGACACAGCAAAATCCCTGAAGTCGTAAACCCCACTCTTCCCACACACCCAGACGGTAACTGACCGTGGCAGCAGAACCAGTAACCTACCTGATATCCACACCCTCTTCTTCATTACTAACAAACCCCAAATTTGCACAGCAACATACCTGTGTAAAAAGCCTTAATTTCACTACAATGTCTTTAGTGGAGGTTACCCTAAGCAAAAGGTTTTGGCTAAGGCAGAGATCCTGGGAAAGGCATTCCTTCCCAGAGGAAAGCCAGAGCTCACCTGGCAAAAATTTTCAGCACTTATGCTCTTCCCAAGAATTCACCCTAGAGAATTCACCTACCCGTGCATGACCATGACAACCAACTCCATACTAAGCCTGCAGAACTCAGAATGAGTCTGGCCTTCTGGATGTCTTGTTGCAGGAGACAAATTCAACTCCATTTGTTGAAACACTCTAATGTTTGAACAGTTTCCTACTGTAGCTTGAAAGCCTTTTGAAGCTTGAAAGCCTCCCCTAACTAATTCACCGAGTAAGAATTTCATAGCCTGAAACAGTACAGTGATTATAGCATAGGTCATAAGTTTATTTCCCAAATCAGATTTTTTTTTTACACCCTGGAGCTATGAGCCTGAGCTAACACACTGGTCTCTGTGGTAAAAGCAAATCCAGAAAGGATACAGAAAAAATGTTAATAATTACTTATAGGGGACAGGAAAAAATGGGATAGATAGTGTCAGAAATGAGAGAAAGAGTTCTCAGAAATACTTTTACATTGTTATGGTTTTTTTAACCATAAATATATGTTCTACTCAAACTATGTAAGGAAACTTTTTAAAAGCAAGCAAAAAAAAAAAAAAAGAAAGGAAAGAAACACAGAAGGATATATTAGTCTTATACCTTCTCTGCCAAGAAATCAACAAAATAATATTACCTTTCTTGGGTCTAGGGGATAATTCAAGGCGCTTTTCTGTAATAGCCTTCTTTTCAGATGTTAATGACTGTAGGCAAAATAATAACAACAAGGTAATTTATGTGACAACAGCTAAAAAACCAACAATGTTTTGTAAAATATCCAAAATCTTAGACTACATTCTCCTTAACACATTCCTGTTTTCCTTTACCCATCAATTTAAATATTCTCGAAGCATGTACTTATATACTTGTAATTTTATTTCCATATTTTGCCAGAACCTAAATAGAAAACTGACTGATCAAAATGTTTCACATTAATATTCAATGTTGGGTGTGGCTCACTTGAGAGTGTGATGGCTGACAACACCAAGTTAAGCATTAAGATCCCCTTACCGGTCATTTTTATAAAAAACAAAAACAAAAACAAAACATTCAATGTTAATAGCTGTTCGTATATGTGACTCTGACCATCTATGAGGTCCTCATTACTACCTGCACCCAAATTATCTTTAGAGTGTATAATAGTATTCCTGTTTATTGTAAGGTATCACATATACAAAAATTAACCAGAATAACTCATTGTCAAAAGATTCTAAACATATGCTCAATGGTTTCACCTTCTGGAATACACTTGGTATATATTCTTCAACTACAACCAACAATGTTTTGTAAAATATCCAAAATCTTAGACTACATTCTCCTTAACACATTCCTGTTTTCCTTTATCCATCAATTTAAATATTCTCGAAGCATGTACTTATATACTTGTAATTTTATTTCCATATTTTGCCAGAACCTAAATAGAAAACTGACTGATCAAAATGTTTCACATTAATATTCAATGTTGGGTGTGGCTCACTTGAGAGTGTGATGGCTGACAACACCAAGTTAAGCATTAAGATCCCCTTACCGGTCATTTTTATAAAAAACAAAAACAAAAACAAAACATTCAATGTTAATAGCTGTTCGTATATGTGACTCTGACCATCTATGAGGTCCTCATTACTACCTGCACCCAAATTATCTTTAGAGTGTATAATAGTATTCCTGTTTATTGTAAGGTATCACATATACAAAAATTAACCAGAATAACTCATTGTCAAAAGATTCTAAACATATGCTCAATGGTTTCACCTTCTGGAATACACTTGGTATATATTCTTCAACTACAAACAAAGGTATAGAAACACTCTACACAATACTAACTTGCTACAATTAAGTAATTCAAGGAATGAGGGGAAAAAAGTAATGTACTGATTACAGGGTCCTGAAAGAAAATACAGAAAGAATTCCAAAGAAATGTAACTGCAAAGGCCTGAACAGTAAAAGGTCTAGGATTACTCTTCAGCACTCAGGGAAAACAATTTTAGAGCTACATTACCAGAGTCCCAGAAGTGTCCTGAAATCCTTCTCCACACCTGAGCCATGCTTCAGAGAGGGAGGCAGCTGCCCCCACTGTCCTGAGACCTGCTCTTCTGAACTGCACTGGCCTCTCTCCTGGGAAGGATGGGTATTCTATATCCCAATTTCTTTTTCTCTGTGGAGATAATTTTTAAAAGAAAAAACAAAGCAAAATCAACTTCATTAAATATACATTAAGTTGACAATATTTTGGAAACCCAGAAATGGCATAGTTTTTGAATATGTCTGAATCTTCACATAAGGATAGAGCAACTAAATAGCAAAACCAAAAACACACAGACAACACAACAATGAGTTGACAAACTCCAAAAATACAAGTGGGTGAGGACAAACCACCAACCCTCCAAAGTCCTACACATTATCAGTATCTGAGAGGAAAGCTGAGAAAAGCAAGGGGGCAAAGGAGGCCCTTAGAACCTAGATGCCTAGTGCTCCCTAGGACACACAGCAGGTGACCAACCTGAGGACAGGGCCTGCAACAAGGCCAGGGCAAGGGCCCCCCTCAGAGAGGTGAAGCGGCTAGAGCA